AGAGAAAGAAAGATCAAATTTGCAGTATAAAATGGCATCATCACTGTATTCCACAGGTTCTCATCAGCTACTGCAAACTGCCTGAAATTACAATGGTTATAAATAATGACAATAACATACCTCAGTGTTTGGAAGGTAATAAAGAAAACATTCTTAGATGAACGCATCCGGAATATAAGTATAACCAATATTTAGTTTAAGTTACCGTCAATTTATATGCTTTCAAACTATGGGAAAAAAGAGGGAGGGGTGAGAGAAGACAGAAAACAGAAAAATCTAATAAACAGTGTTAGCTTGTACGTCAACATAGCAACTCAAGAGGGTTAAAGTTCATCAAATTGAAAACTTGCTTAGTGAGCTCAGCCCATTAATGTGTATGAATAATCAGTGTAATGAAAGTAATACGGTTACCAAGGGAGTGAAAGATTCACTACACACACACACTCTCTCTGTGTGTATAAGTTTGGTCTGAAACGTTTGATTGCAATTGTTTCAGCAGTAAATCCTAGTAAATTTCTTGTCCTTTGTATGTTTAATATTTTGAAGGATTTGGAAATGTCGACGAAATGACCCGTATCCACAGAGTGGGTGTCTAGTAATTGCACTTTGTAAATATCTGCTTCCTTTTAAGCATAGGTTTCTTGGAATATGCTTTGAAAACCGGATAGAAGCCCTTCTTTCTGTCCTTCCAATGTACTTGCTGCTGCAGGTGCACGTAAATTTATAAATGCAGCAGGGTGCTTATCCAGTTTCGACTGGCTTATAGAGCATGTAGTGCTGTATAGTGTCACCCTCTTAGCTGCAGGGAAACATCTTTTTATTGCTCCTTTCATCCTCCTGTCAATCTTTTGTGATACTGCTTCTCCTTTGTATGGGAGGCAAATGAACACTTTCTTCTTTATTAATTATTAACTGTTGGATACTTCTCTTTCTAATCTCTTTCTTTGCTGTACTTTAGGATAAGTCCTTTTGGATACCCGTTTTTCTTAAGGCATTTTTCAACAAAGCTTAATTCTTCTTCTACCTTGTTAGACGAACATAACTTCCCGGCTCTGTCGTATAGTGAGTGTCCTTACTAATCCCCGCTTATAGCATATAGGGCAGAAGCTGTTGTAGTGAAAATATGGTCCAGTCCAGGTTTCTTTTCTGTAGATGGACTTTTCAACCTTTCCATAGTTTCTTTATTTTACATTTAGGTCCAGGAAATTGAACTCGTCGTTGTGTGTATATTCTATGGTGAATTTAAGGCGGTCAACTAATACGGATGTCTGATGCATGTCGTTACAAACAAAAAACGTATCATCGACATATCAACGATAGTATGTTGTTTCGTTGATAGCATCACTCAATCGCGTCTGTTCGAGATAACCCATGAAGATATCGGCTAGAATAGGTCCTAGAGGTGAACCAATGGTGGCGACCCCGTGAATTTGTTGGTAAAATTGGTTGTTGAATTTAAATTGTATATCTTTTGTGCAAAGAATTAGTAGGCGCTTCATCTCTGTTTCCGGTAATGGCAATAGATCCGTGAAATAGAATGATATCATTTTATACTGCAAATCTGGTCTTTCTTTCTCTATCGAAATAAATCTTATTTTATATAATCATTAAGGTTCTGCATATAATCAGATAACATATTATGCGGGAGTTTTAAGCGTAAGAATTACTCAGATTGAGAAATGAGCGACAGATACTGACAATAACTACCTAGAAAGGGTGACACTTGCTTAAAACTTGGGCTACTGAAAACCTCCATCAATATGCCTATTACTGCAAATAGTTTCTCTTATTCGATTTGTTTAAATCTGGTCAACTATGACTTCCTAATGGTATTATTTACTCTGGCGAGTATTTGAAGCATTCACAACCTGCTGATTCGTAAGTTTCTACTAAGCATGAGAAAAGGCATTATCCTCGATGGCAGCTTATGCCACAGTGTGTACATAAGATGACCGTTTCTCAATGGTGTCCTTGGTGCACAAAATAGATTCCTGAGCCTTTTAAAATTGGCATTCAACGAAATGTCGTCGTGTACTTCTCGAAGGAGAAGAAGAACAGATATCATAATGATGGATTGGTTTGTGTTTCAGGTCAGATAGAACTGTGTCACACGATCTACTGTCAATTAATACTTTTTATTTGAAGATCCTGGATGCAGTGAAAATATCATGCAATAAACTCTACTGAAAATTCTGTACATGATATAAACACTGTTCAGAACAAAGCTATTATTATTATTACCAACTAATTAATTGTCTGGGTATTAGTTGTCCTAGTGTGATATCCTTCTGCTAAAATGGCTTTTTTGTGATGTGTATCTGTTGCACATATCTCAGTGAAAATGATAAAATATACAATGGGGCTTGTGAATTAGGAAGTACTCACAGCAACCTTGTCATTGTGTTCCAGGTTGTAGAACAATTCATTCTGAGCAGTTGGGTAGAATAATGATCAGGCCTCACACATTAATTATGACATACATAGTCTGGTAATTGAGTCCTAATTGGCAAAATTTGATTATCACCGAAAATATCCATCGAGTCATGAAGAAAATTTCCTTTATCTACGAAATCATCTTCAGACGCTGTACTGTACAGTCGTGTGTATAGTCGTCTATTATTGAGTAATAGAGGGGGTGGTGACATAATTGACACAATTACTCAGAAGTGGCTTTACAAGTAAAAATCAAAGTCGCAAATTACGTAGTACTCAACGGCACAAAAGAAGAACGGGTTAGAAATTTAATAAGGTTAAAATTGTTATTGACTAGTGAGAGGAAAGGTAGTTGAGTGTCCATTTAACAAGTGTGAAGAGGGTGAGAAAATGTACGAAAGGAACACGTGAGAGTGATAACAGTGAATTAATTATTAAACTAAAAGCAAAATTAAATGATAAAAAAATTTCCAGGGAACGACTAATGAAGAGGTTAAGAGCATGGTAGAATAAGAGAGAGACTGGACAAACTGTTTTCTGCATACAGAGTTCGAGGTTGTATTGACGACTCACCAACGCCTCCGCCATACACAAATACCGAAACTTAACACCCTTTGTACCACTTAGTCTTACCTTGTAGATGATCTTGAAAGACGACTCTGGTGGAGCTACGTGGCTTGAGTTTACCAAGTGGTGGAGAATTGAGCTAGTAACTGTCATGCATTATCCTTTCGCTAACCATGTGGGATAATGTTCAGAGATGCGTTTGGAAAGTGTTCGCTTTGTCCGGCCAATATAACTAGCTCCATATGAGCAGGTGACCCATCCAAAACGATAGTTTGTCGTTCACATACCCATTGATCATTTGTCGACTGCGAAAATTGGTGCGTAACTCAATCACGAAGAAGGTTTTTCCCAGTGATCTGCATAAGCACTTCTTCAAGATCTCAGCAGCAATATCACCTTTAAATTGATTACTTCATAACTTTGCATACTGTTTTGAATTGATTGGAAATTGTGAATACACAATTAAGTTGTACAGACGTTGACTACTCATTGGCAGACTGTTCCACTCTTTACAAGTGAAACAGTGCTAAAAGCCAAAGTGATGAACAAATTGTAAGTTTTTCGTCACATACTGTGTTCATAGCCTCAGTGTGTTGAAATTTCAGTTCGGAAAGAGGGAAATCAACACCAATGAGACAGTTTGCTAATCATTACATGATATCAAACTGTAAATTCTCTGATAACTGGTCTTAATCCTATGGAAAATTGTGGCTTATAAAGCCATGGTGGCTGATTGGATGCTACAAATCATTGGTTGCAGGCTCTGGGACAGATATATGCCTGAATCATACAAAAATGACACATATGATTTCGCCTATCATCATATTTCTTGATTATAATTTCTTTCTATTTCTGTTCAGTCTTTTGTGTACTAACATTCCAAATGAACTTTATGTTTATTATTGTCACCATCCATCCATCCATTTGTTTGTTTGTTTGCTTTGTTGAATCCGATTATATATGAGTGAAGTTATGATTCATTAGTGTCGACTCTGTCTGTCTGTTTTCAACATAGAAATTTGCACCGATGTGCAGCAGTTCAAGTCGCCACACTCCATGTAGCACACAAAACAAGAGAAGAAAGTAGAAGAAATGCAAAATACAGACAGTATAAACAGAGATATGAGGCAAAATGAATAGTAAAATAGAAGAACAATATAGTTTCATTAGAAATTATAAGTCACAAGGAATGGATACATCTGCTCTATTGAGAACGATTTTGAACCATTGGTTTTTTTACCATCCGGAGGACCCCAACCAGTCAGGAAGCCAGTCTACACAACTTCCTACATGGCTGGTTGACTTAAACTAACTGTTGTGGATTCCATTGTACGATGAAGCCATGTTTTGGTTTGACAGCTGCTAGCTCTTTTCCTGCCAGATCCCATGTCAGCTAACATTGCCTGTTGTCGAGGAAGGCGATGGATAGGCATGCATGCGTAACACATGTCCTAACCATCTCAGTCTATGTAGCTTCACAGCCTCGTCGATTGATTTCCCCTCCTTACCTATCACTCGACGCCTAACCTCAATATTGCTCACCCTGTCATACCACTTCCTACGGGAGATAGAACGCAGGCAACTATGATCAAAGACAGCTAGTTGGCCTTTCCATGTCTTCCACTCTTAATGGCCATGTCTCATTCACATCCATAAAGTAGGACGGAGCAGACTGCTGAACAATACATACGCCCTTTGGTGGACAGCCAACCGGATATCACGTCTACCAAGTCAGAGATAGAGTAAACTGGCATATGCGAAGCGAGCGACTCTCAGCTTTCAAGCACTAGGTTCATGCGTTCGAATCACCACCCCAGTACCTGAAATGTAGATGGGATTCATTGCCAGCTGAATGAAAATACAACTGGTTGTGTTAAGTAACATTTCATTTCATTTTTAAAGTTTTCCGTTGTTTTTTTATTTCTAATGGGTTCATTTTCATATACTATCATTTCATTATTACTTTTTGTGTCATTGTCTTTTGTTGTTTATAAAAACAGTTATTCCGAGAGGTGAATATTATGAAAATGCTGAATCATCCAAATATTGGTAAGATTAATAAAAGATAAACGAAGAAAGGTTTTTGTTTTTTTGATATTAACAGGGTGTTTTTGTTTTTCTTCTGTTGTTGCACTCTTTTGTTTACATATTGATATGCATATTCACAAAAATTTTGTTCTGCCTGTGAAGAACATCTACAATGGGTTTTTTATCATTTAAAATATCAGTTTAAGCATGGGTTTTATTTGTTAGTTATGTAATGTAAACACAACTCTACAACAAACACAACATGTCGCTTTTTTATCTGAGATGCTGGAAATCGTGAATTTCACTTCTATGCATGTATCACAGTGGAATATAATAGGCCTAAAGGCGGCGGCGGTCAACTGACACTTCATCATTGTTCAATGATCGAAGTTGAAGTTTTGTACAATAAGTGTTTCTTCTAACTATCAGTTTATTTTGTGTGTGTGCATAATTAATTGACTTTTAAAAGTTGTAACTGGTACCAATCTATCTATGACCAAGTGACAGAGTTTTAGACTTCATAATTTGAATACAGCAAAAAGAACAGTAGCTTGTGCAGAATAAAATGCTACCATGATTGTTTATTTCTCTGGCTTCTCATCAGCTTCTTACAGCCTAAAGACATTGTTAAGTTTACGTACAAAAACAATTTTAACTTACAGGATTTCATCATGAGCTGACATTGGTTAGAGAACCATTGGAAAACCTGGGAGTACTGGACAGCTGTTTCGTCCTAGTTTGGGACTCTTCAGCAAACAAACCAATACTTGAATATCAATGAGATGCTCACTGGCCACTGGCCCTATTCAGGTAGGTAGTTAACTGGGGTTTCAGTGGGAAGTCGTGACCAGTAGGGTGAAGCAGGTCTGGTGTGAGGACAAATACTCGCCGAAGACATTGGCTAACCGTTGCGCTATATCGTGAATTGGCAGGAGTTAGAATTCATGGGCCATTGGATCGGGTCCCAGTGGCTTAATGGTACACGAGCTTGCCTTGTAACCAGAAGGTCCTGGGTTCGGACCTCGGTGGGTGCGTACTGATGAAGCATCCCAAACTAGGATGAAACAGCTGTCCAGTACTCCCAGGTTTTCCAATGGTGATCGCTTCGGCAAACTTGAGGAGATGTTGAATTCTTTTGTCTATTGATAATTTTGAAGTTTCTTCCAATGTCCACCATTTCATAACGCGTGTCAAGGAGATGCCTGGCAATGACACTGTTGGAAGCATTTGTTCTCTTGAGACGTAGGCTTTTGGGTGCGTGTCTAGAAAATCGGCGGTATGCCCTTCTCTCTGTTCTTGCAATGTAACTGCTCCCGCAGACACATGTAAATTTGTACACACACTTGGAGTTAACATGAGTGAGAAGGGTATCTATCTACTTTTGATTGCACCAAAGGGCATCTTGTCCGATAAACGGGAACCGACTTAGCTGCAGGATAGGCTTTGGCAAGTGACATATCCAATCTTCTTTTGATTATTCCTGCAATATTATCACCTTTAAAATCAAGTTGAACAAAGATAGGCATTAGCATTAGCATGAACCTTTGAAAATAACCGATGTTTTTTGCAACATCTCTTCGAGAATCAGAAATCCTTCCTCTAATTTCTCTGTAGAGTATATTCTCCTGACTTTAGTTTTTTTTTTTACTAGTGCTCGTTTATAGCTATTCGGACAAAAAAAGCTATTAAAATGTAGGTATTGTCGTTTCCATGTAGGTTTTCGATAAATTGACTTCTGGAGACTACCATCATCCAGGCGTTGCATGGCAATGTCAAGGAAATGAAACTTCCTGTCATGTTCCATAGTAAATTCAATATTTTTATTTACCTCGTTGAATAATCCTAGTAGATAGGAAGCATGACGATTATTGTTGCACACTACAAATGTGTCATCGTTAACATCGGCAATAAAAAGTTCTTTCGTTGATCACATGCCTCAACTTTGTTCTTTCAAGGTTGGATATGAAGATATCTGCTAAAATTAAGTTAAAATTGTTTCTGTGCACATAAACTTAATAATGTCTCTAGGCTGTAAGAAGCTGATGAGTGGCCAGAGAAATAAACAATCATGGTAGGATTTTATTCTGCACCAGCTACTGTTGTTCTTGCTTTATTCAATTTCATAAATGGGGAATAAATATATGAGGACTTCATAATTGTTGGATAAGCGTTCATACTTGATGATATTGGATATTTGGAGGCGATCGGCAGGACGCCTTGGACCTAGGTTTCGTGCTAGTTGGCACTCATCAGCAAGGCGTACCTGCAACCTTGAAGGAACTCAGGTCCCTTCTGAGATTTGAACCCGCATCACCCAGTGCTGCAGTCAGAGACGTCACCATTGAGCTATTCGGGCTCGCGATTGACCTCCTGTAGGACTGTAGTGGGTATTTGGATTGGACACTAGTAACTAGTGTGACGTGTCTAGTCCTTTCTTTGGTGCAGACTGAATTCTATCAGTCAGTTTTTGCAATGTGGCCACCATTCTACCCAATATCATCAAATCAACGTGCACCGTGATGGCGAGCTACCTGGAATCGTAGCCACATTGTAAAACCTGACTGATAGAATTCAGTCTGCACCAAAGAAAGGACTAGACACGTCACACTAGTTACTAGTGTTCAATCCAAAAAGTGTTCATATTTTACTTTGGATTATAATTTTCGTCATGATACGTCTTTTCAGTGAATGACAGCACAGTGTTTATACTAATAATATTTAGATCAGAATACTTGTTGGGATATCGTAAAGCCTAAGTGTGTATTGACTGTTTCATGTTACCTTAAAGGGTATTTATCTCATATTGGTTAGTTATGTGTGATTAGTTATATATGTCCAAACCAAGTTCACTTTTAATAGTTTGAAAAAATCTGGGCATTGGTTATATGATATTCATTATAATAAAGGTTTTCTTGTATTTCCCAATGAATGAAAAACAAAACGATATCGTTGCTTTTACTGACGTTTCGCTATTTAATACTGCTGCTAAAAGCTTTATCAAAGTATTATTTAACCGGAGTTTACAAAATCTCAGCATATGTATAACAACAAAATCAGAAAAATTGAACACCGTAGAGCATCTGTTCGACCACCGAGAAATCCAGTTGAACTCGAAAAGCTTGAAAAATCATCAGCCATAGGTCTACACGCTACGCTATAGAATCAGGCCACAAAATTGATTTTGACAATATTGAAATAATCCAGAAAAATTTCAGAAATCACAAAGAACGTCTGATATTATTAGAAGCACTTCATGTCAAATGGAATCCAAATTGTCTGAATGGAAATGATGGACATTAACAGAATTTTACCTGGTTGAAATGCCCCTCTCCCCACCCATGAAATGACAAAATCAACACAAATGTGATAAGTAATTTCATTATGTAAACACACGCTGTTTTTATATTTTTCACACTTATCAAATCCAACAATCTACACCTGGTTTTACTATCTTTACCAATTGGTCAATTTGACAACGGATAAATGACCCCATACTGAGGAACGATGATTAAGTTGTTATATATACGTTGAGATTTTGTAAATTCTGGTTTTACATTACTACTTTGATAAAGCTATTAGCAGCATTAAATAGCGAAACGTCAGCAAAAACGACAATTCATTCATTGGGAAATAAAAGACAACCTTTATTAAGTGTGATTAGGTTGAAAAAAAGTATATTTAATTGACATTTTTAAGACTTGCCTTTTCTCTTAGGCAGTTAGAACACTTGTCAAGTCATCACCTTCGAAGAGTGTTAGTTAACAGAGGATTTGGTTGAAAAAGAGTTCAGAGTAGTCAAATCAAAGCCTTATATGAATCCCTGAAGTTTTTGACTGTTTGGTTTAAGCCAGCCACACAGGGACATGTAGACTGCCTCGTCGGGATAGTTGAGACTTTCAAGACTCCAAATGCTTCTCAATAGTTCAGATTTATTCATTACTACTGAACACTCCTAGATCTATTTATGTAATCATTCTTTCTCTCGGACGTTTCCCTTCCTTAATAAATTTTTGTGTTCCGAGTGTAACATACACGTCTTGAAGCTTGAGCTTTGAAGTTGCATTAGTTGTGGTGGTGGTGTAGTTTTTACAGGTTGGGATTACTAGCGTCACACCCAACCTTCTCTCTTTTTATTTGGATTCACTACTGACTAAACAAGGTCTAGAAGTGGATCGGCCGTGAATCGAACCCGTGCATGTTTGGAGGAGAGCATTCTACCACTGAACCACTGTCTCATCCCCTTCATTATAAAACTCCTTTGAATATTGATTGATTGATTGATTATGCTCTAGTTTGTTGGGCTAATATGGAGTGTGACAATCTGAACTGCTGCACACTTGTATATGTAAAAGATCTTCATTGAAAAAGCACACACACACAGACTGAATCTTTTTTTAAATATTTCACAATAAAATAGATGTTATTATTATTATTGTTCCCTTTGGTTCCTAGTGGAACATAGGGCTTCAGCTACACGCCTCCACTTGCTTCTGTCTTGTGCTGTACTTCTCACCTGCATCCATGTTACTCCATACTGTTTCAACTCCTCTTCACACGATCTCCTCCATGTCACCCTTGGAAGTCCCACTCGCCGCTTCTCTTTCGGGTTCCACTCGAGCACTGGCCTGACGCGCGATGTCACCCAACGGCCTCCTCAGTGAGTGTCCAATCCATCTCCACTTTCTCCTGTATATTTGTTGGGCGATTGGTTCTTGTTTTGTTTGTTTCCATAGTTTCTTGTTGGTGATTCTTTCCGGCCATCTGATCTTCAGTATAGAACGAAGACAGCTGTTGCTAAAGGTCTGCAACTCGCCAAGTTTCTGATCCGTATAGAAGAACTGACTGACTTGACGTCGTTTGTATTGAAAATCCGAATTTTGTTGTTGATGCAGGCTGAGTGACGAAGATTTCCAGATTGGTTTCAGGTTGATGAATGTGTTTCTCGCCTTCCCGATTTTCGATTTGACATCGTCGTCCGTCCGTTCCTCCTGTAGTTGATACAATGCTCCCTAGATAAGTGGATGACGTAACATCTTTCAAATCCCTCCCGTTGATGGTGATTGGCGCTGGATGTTAGCATGCATTGGAAATATACCTTAGAACATAATATTTTGAATTGTAACCGAAAGTATAATGATGAATTACATAGAAAAGAGGCATAAAACTGGTCATTCAATAATGCCTCTACCATCTTTGGATTGTATGCATGAATAAAGCTCATCAACTGTTAATCATAGTCAACATTAATGTTTTGTTTTGCTTTGTTTTGTTCACCTCTTTTCACTCATTCAGTGTTTCGTTGATTGATTTCCTTCTTCCTTTGTTTTAATCGCTTCTATTCACGTCCATATTATGATATAAAAATTAGACGACGCTTCACATAGTGTATGAATATGTTGTATATGTGTTAGTACATACCTTGTCTTATTCATTCTGTCTGTCCTATCCGCTCCTTAAATGAATTAATTAATTAATGCAAAAATAATTGTCTGTATGACAGATGCTGTCTTTTATACAATATTGTAGCATAAGAAGGGTGAAGAGTCAATCAGACCTGTGATTTATACTACCTTATGTCTAGGAGTTTAAGTTTTAATAATAATGATGTTTCTATTCCTACATCAGTAAAATCACCTTTGTGTCATTGCACTTTAAGGATGAACAACTTTACGTTTTATACAGAAATAGTACGTTTTCCATCGATGGTAGTACACTTGGTGTTTCTAGTCAGGTGACACAAATGTGGTTCACTGTTCAGTACAAGCAAAGAATCACAGTCACTCATTCAATCACTCACATTACTGTTATTATTACTATTATTATTATTTCCATGTTTATAGGCCTAATAATTTCTAAAATACACGTTGATGTTAGGATTAGACTGTGTTGTAGCCATTGAAGCTTTCTTCTAAATCTTTTTTTCCATATGGAGCTGTGGCTAGTTAGTATAGGTGTCCGATTTCCAACCCGACTGACTGGTTTCAACATAGAACTAGTTTGGACACATGTGCACTAGTTCAACTTGCCACACTCCCTCCTTCTACCACACAAAGCAGCAGAACAGAGTAAACGCAGATTCAAAAGAGAGATAATAAACACAAGTGTGAGGAGAAACGAATATTAATATGAAAGAACAATAGAGTTTTATTGGATATGAAAAATCACTCACAAAGAGTGAATACATCTGCACGATCATCATGAACGAGGATTTTCAGCCGCACCACCAGTTGTATGCCTGCAGCCGCCATTGGTTCTTACCATCCCAAGAACCCCGACCAGTCAGATAGTTTACGCCTACCTACTTGACTGGCTGGCTCAAATTGACCGTTATGAATTTCATTGACTGATTCTAAGTTTTCGTTTAACCACCACTAGCTCCCAACATTGCCTGTCGTTGGGGAAGGCGATCGATGGCTAGACATGCATGCGTAGCACATGTCCTAACCATCTCACTCAATCGATGCAGCTGCTTCACAACCTTATCGATTGATTTTCCCTACATACCTAGCACTTGACCGAAGCCTAACCACCTCAATATTACTCACCTTATTGCACCTCACATGGGAGATAGGTAGAATGCAAGTCATCTGTGACCAATGACAGCTAGCTGGCCAGTGTTTTCCTGTCTTCCACTTACAATGGCCATGTCTCACTGATAGCGATAAAGGAGGTCAGAGAGAACTGCTCAGCAGTACACATGTCGTTTGGTTGACAGCCGGATATTACATCTACTAATTCAGAGATGGCGTAAATTGTCAAATGCCAAAGGAGCCTTCCATATCCGTGCTGAGATTTCGTCAACGATCAACCCGTTGGGTCTGGCTGGTGCAACTTCTCAAATAAATAATGTGGTCAACTCGCTCTGTCACTTCACTCCTGCCTATCGTTAATGTATTAGTGAGTCGATGTAGTACAGTTATGTAACATCATCTTACATTGGACAGCAGGAGCGAATCGCTTGCCAAACATTCGAAGATTGCTTGCTGTTCAAGGTGTTCAGAACACTCTGTTCTATTTTATCAGCGTCTTCACCTAGAAGGACTATATCATCCGCATATTCTAAGTCAGAGAGGTTATTCCCTGATAAGAAGTCAATCCCTTAGTTGCTGAAGTTAGTTAGGGTCAATTTCATTAGTACATGTATGATGAAATTAAAGAGAAATGGAGACAGGGGGCATCACTGATGGACACCACTGGTTGCGACTTGCAACCAATTGGTCACAGGTTTTAACTCCGCTTCACACAACGAGGTTTGGACCACTCCCGGTTAGTATATAATCAGCTGTCTCACAATAGATGCAACTCCTTACCAACACCATGTAACTGCAAATAGTTTTTTTGGATAACACTGAAATCTTTTTATACATGACACTTTATAACATACAGTGTCGTTAGCAAAGGGCGGAGTGGGGGGGAGTGTATGGCTTTCATTTCTTTTAGCAGTATGTTTTACGTGTGGTTTATTGCTTTAATCAGAGAATCATGTCAGCCGGTCATTGCTATAAATCCACCCAATGTACACTACACTGCACTGCATTGCTATGCTTGTATATCTCCTATTTATAACATTGAGCCTTTATACCATTGACATATTTCAACCTCGCGTTCAACCCTTCTCTCACACAAAATATTTGTATATCTATGTGTACGTGTGTGTATTTCTCCTTCAAAAAGTATATCAAATTTTGCTGAATTTCGCTTTACTTTTATTTTGTATTTTTCTTTTAAAAATTTAGTTCGATTATATGAAGTGATCGAATCAGAACGTCATGTTTATCTAGTCATGGAGTATGCTGAAAATGGTGAGTTTCTTCTTCTTCTTCTTCTTCTTCGCTGACTGCTGTCTCATTTCTGTCTCATTTTTTTTTCAATTCATGTATTATACTTCTTATCATCTGGTTATTATAACTTTTAAATTAAGTATAACCCTGGCAAAATACTCTCTCCTTAGTGTTGTGAAGTTTATAGTATATAATGTTATTCATCACTCTTCAGTGAATTGAATACTACTGTAAGTTGTTTTCTCTTCCATAGGCTAATCACTTCCTTGAGTTTGAACAAAGCAAGAACTACAGTTTTAGCAGAATAAAGTGGTACCATCATTGTTTATTTCGTTGCCTTCTCGTCAGCGGCTTACAGGCCAAAGACATTATTAAATGTATCTATTATTTATTGTTCCCTTGGGTTCCTAGTGGGACATAGGGCTTCTGTCTTCTGCTGTACTTTAAACTTGCGTCCATGTTAGTCCATACTGTTTCAATTTCGCTTCACACGATCTCCTCCATGTCACCCTTGGACATCCCACTCGCCGCTTCCCTTTCGGGTTCCACTCGAGCATTGGCCTGACGCGCGATGTCACCCAACGGCCTCCTCAGTGAGTGTCCAATCCATCTCCACTTTTTCCTGCATATTTGTTGAGCGATTGGTTCTTGTTTTGTTTGTTCCCATATTTTCTTCTAGGTGATTCTTTCCGGCCATCTGATCTTCAGTATAGAGCCAGCGAAGACAGTTGTTGTTGATAAAGGTCTGCAACAGACTGTCGGAAATATTCTTTGTAACCCGCCGCCAAGTTTCTGATCCGTATAGAAGAACTGACTGACTTGACGTCGTTTGTATTGAAAATCCGAATTTTGTTGTTGATGCAGGCTGAGTGACGAAGACTTCCAGATTGGTTTCAGGTTGATGAATGTGTTTCTCGCCTTCCCGATTCTCGTTTTGACATCTTCGTCCGTTCCTCCTGTAGTTGATACAATGCTCCCTAGATAAGTGAATGAAGTAACCTCTTTCAAATCCCTCCCGTTGATGGTGATTGGCGGTGGATGTTGCTGCTGATGTTGTTGTTGTTAGATGGTTATTTTCTACAATTTTTTACAAAAACAATTTTAACATGCTTGCACAGAGTTCATTTTAAACAAAATTGAGTCGATCAATATGCGCATACACTGATGATATATATATATATATATATATATATATATATATTAAACGAGATTCCGAACAATAATGATCATACACAATGAAAACTTTCGCCATTACGTAATCATACGAAAGAGAGGTGAAAATATCCAGTTACCAGGGCAAAGAAAGGCTGATAACTGTTTCTTTTTGAAAGCATAAATCAGGTTTCAGGCGTTTGATAGACATGGATGGCTTCAGCAAACTTGAGGAGAATTGAACTCTTTTGCCTATTGATAATTTTGAACGATCATGCGACATCCCACCCGTGTCAAGATGTCTAGCGATGACACTGTTTAAAGCATTTGTTCCCTTTAGACATAAGTTTTTTGGTACATGTTCAGAAAATCGTAGGTATGCCCTTCTTTCTGTTCTTCCAATGTAACTGCTCCCGCAGATACATGTAAATTTGTATATACAGTTGGATTAACTCTGAAACAGAGAGGAGACTTTTTTTCTTTTCAAAGAATTTTTTATCAAGCTGTACAATCGTATGTGGTTATTTTAAGAAATTATATGCCGTGAGGGAATTGAATCATAGGTGTGAGAATACACAAAATAATAATGCCAGTAGTAGTATTAGAATGAAATGCAATTAAAACTAAAATATTTGTGATTATAATCATAGTTAAATGTGAAATAGCAAAACAATTAATTTAGTATATAAGACAATTCACAGGATGTGTGAAGGGTGTGAAATTATAGCGTTATTAGGCAAATAGAATTAAAAAATATATATATAATAAAAACGTTACTTAACATTGTGTGAAATTTGATAACATAGAATTTAATGTTGCAAAACGAAATTGATTCAGAATGACACGTGAGCCTAGTGAAATAATACCGGAGACAATTCAAAGTGAGAATAATAATAATAATAGTAATAGTAACAATCGATGTAGTCATAAGGGAAGAGCATACAAATTGAATAAACAAAACGAAGAATAAGTAGAGCCAAGAATATGAATGAGGATTATCATACCTTTGCATAGAGCGATTAAGACCATGAAAGTTGGCTTTTCTGTCTCGATGGCCAAAGCTTCAGCAATACACATGATTCAGATACATAGTGATTTGGACGAATTACTTTTTGCCTTGTAGATGACTTTAAAGGTGGAGGCTGTAGAGATAAGGTGATCATTATCGACCAGATGTTCAATGATCGCTATTCTTATTGCTCCACTTCCACCTCTTCGTAACTACCATGCAGGATAGAGTTCTTGCACGCTTTTGGACAATAATTGAGTTGAACGACCGATATACCTACTAGATCCACTCGAGCAGGTGAATTGATAAACACGCATAGAGTTGGTCGACTGCGGGATCTTGTCCTTCTGTATGTCCCAATGGGAATTTTCCACGAATTAACTCTGAAACCTTAAATGTATAAAATATCTTCAGTCTTTTGATTGGACACCAGACAGTAACTATTGTTATATGTCTAGTCCTATCTTTGGTGCGGACTGAATTCTATCGTCAATCAAGTTTGCAATGTGGCCACCATTCTAGGTGGTTTGCCATCACAGTGGGTGTACTTTGAAATGTTGATACTAGATGATGGTTGGAGGCAATCAGCAGGAAGCTTTGCTTGGCCTAGAATTACTTGTTAGTTGGTACTTGAATCTCAGAAGGCACATGAGTTTCTTTCAAGATTGCAGATATGCCTTGTTGACTGGTGAGTGTCAACAAGCATGACACCTAGGTGAAGTAAGGCTTCCTACCGATTGCTTCCAACCATCTAGTATCCTTAGTCCTTTACATTTTGAAATGTTACTTGGTCCAAGTAGTTCATATTATATCATTGTCAAATTGTTAAGTTTGTGCGATTTCGATTCCGTCACAAAGTGAACAGTATTATTATATAAAGATGCTTACGCATACAAGACATTGTATTTCAAGTGTTGGTTTGTAGGGATTTGATTAGTTACAGGATTTTCATTATGAGCTGACATTAGTTAGAGAACCATTGGGAAACCTGGGAGTACTGGACGACTGTTTCGTCCTAGTTTGGGACTCTTCAGCAGCACGCACCCACCGGGATTTGAACCCAGGACCTTCTGGTTACAAGGTGAGCTCGTATACCATTAAGCCACTGGGGCCCGATCCAATGGCCCATTGTATTTCATTTTCGCTACACAGAGGAGTGTGGCTCATTGGCTTAAGCACTCCTTTTGAACCACTGGGTCCCGCTGTATTTACGTCAACCTTAGAAACTAGGTTATATTGTCATCCATAATGCAGTAAGTGTGTGCTTCACATAGAAAATCTGTCTCGGCGAACTGAATTCCAGACAGTAACGGTAACTGTGTATTGATCAGATTAGTAGGAGTTGGAGAAAGTATATACAAAGGGGGGGGGATTCTTACATATTGTTTGCGAGATGTGATATGTAAATCTGGTCTGCTGAATGGTTCCAAAACATAACTAAACTGCTCCTATGCTGGTTTATCACAGAATATTTCTGGGAATTGTTAATCGTATGTTTTCAATGCTTAAAACATCATAGAATCAGTATGTTTGTCCACTGTTCTTGTTTGTGTGTGTGTGTGTGTATCATAGTTGTATCAATATACATTTTTTGAATTTCACTTAGCCTACTTCTGTTATCTCATACTTTACGGCTTACTTATTTCATATTGTGAAGAACCTTCTCGTTTCTCTACTTCCTTAGCCAACTATCTTCTTCTTCTTTGCCCCTCTAAGTTCGCACTGATCGAAAGTGTGAAATAGCATTAACCAGTTATCACCGACACCCTATACTCTAGTATCTTTTTTTCCAGTTTTCTTGTTGTTCAGTGAGAGAAAAAACTGGAGTAGAGCTTTATTGGCTTTTTTCCCCCACAGTTTATAAAAGGATGATAATATTGTAACAACAGAATACAAGGGCCAGGCAACAGATCGTTTATTAAGGAAAATCAACGCATATTTAAAGATTTTAATGTACATTATTGTAGATTATTGTTAGTAGAAAATACAGTCTTTTGATTGGTTGTTTCTCACAGAAAGTTAACCTTGCATCTCTTTGTGGCTTTGTCAGATCATCCATATGCTAACTGTATCCGCCCGCCTACGCAAAGCCTTTGTTCTGATTTTCTCACCACCAATATTGTGGACATAAACATTGACGTCAATTACTGTCTACCAACTTTTGGCTAGCAGCCAGCTCTCACCACAATATAACCTCAATAAATATTGAATGAACACTCAGATGATTATAATTCAGTTTATCATCACCTCTGAATAATAATGTTTCTTCTTCTTTTGTTTTGTTTGTACTTTCTGTTTTCATCTGTTTAGCCACCCCCACCCTCACCGCCACCTCCACTCCTATTCATTGTCTCCTCCATCCATTACCTCAGTCATCTGATAATTTTTTTTGGAAATCATTAGAAACTCCAATATATATCATTCTCAGTGTTCATTTTTAGGTTTGACGCTTTCTCCCTTCCTACACTATACACTAAACTTCCGTGTAGTGGGAATTATATATTTCACCTTGACTATAAGACTATCCTAGTTTTAACACTTTCTGGTTTTATGTGTGTGTGTATGTGTGTTTGCATTCGTCTGTACTAAGTTTCCTTTGTGCTTTTCATTTGTCAATCAGCTTGATTGACGACTGTGTGCGTACGTGTTCGGGTTGTTATTGTCTTTGTGAAGTTTTGTTTTATTCTGAAGTTGGTCTGATTCATCTAAATTTTCACTTGGTTTTATATATACATATATACTGCCTCCTACGTGTAGGTCATATGTGTATATTTAGTACTCTGGTTTTCTTGAACAGTACTTGTCGCTAACCAATATGTCGAAGTGATTTAAACATAACAGCTTCACCTGTCGTCGACAGAACTCATCATTCTGTTCCTTAGTTGAGATAGCTCTGTCTGGTAAGTATTATTATTAGCTGGTATCAGCGTTTTCCACTTCTCATATGAGTCTGTAATGTTTCGTAAAAATACGCCCCTGAGGTGAATGGTTCTTAGATTGTTTACCTTTAAAAGTGGAGGATGTAAACCGATCTCCCGGGACTTTATTAGGCCATAGGGATTAAACGTCAGCGTGGTTTTTTTTCTCTCTAAATATTGAAACCTTCAAGCTAGAAATTTTGTTGTTTCGGAGACTATTGGAATGTCATCAAGTAAAGCCAGTAAAAGAATCCCTCACTATATCTATACTGCTGATTGTGATAATTATTTTATTATTATTGTTCCCTTGGGTTTTGAGTGGAATATGGGCCTTCAACAACACATCTCCACTTTGTTCCATTTTCTACTGTCCTCTTCATTTGGATCCACGATTGCCCATAATTGCTCATCTCCTACTCTGATGATCTCCTCCATGTCAGCCTCGCACTGACAACCTTATTCGTCGTTTCCCATTGGGATTCTACTCGAGTGGTGGCCTGCATTGCGTACGATGTCATTCGACGGTTTCCTTAACATATGCTTAATCCATCTACATTTTCTCCTACATATTTGTTGGGCGATTAGCTCTTGGTTGTTTGTTGTCAGCCAGCCAGAGTTTCTTGCTGCTAATTCGTCGCGGCCAGTCAGCCATTTCATCTTCAGTATGGAGCCAGCGAAGGTGGCAGTTGTTGATGAAAATTTGCAGCAACCTGTTGGAATTCCTTTTCGTTACACGCTGGCCAAGTTTCTGACCCATGTAAAAGAACTGATTGACGCATCACTGGTGTTGAAAATAGGAACCTTCTTCTTTATGTTGAGGAGTGCGGAAGATTTCCAAATCGATTTCAGATTAATGAAGGTGTATCTTGACTTTAAAACTCTGGCATTGACATTTTCATCCGTTTCGCCTGTGATTAAAACGTCCCCATTATTATTCTTGCCTTCATCCGGAGAAGATACATCAGTTGGCTGGCTTCCCGAAGGCTTTCACCAGCACACGTCATTTCTCCTCTCCGGTCCGAGCGAAGAATAAGTTTGTCTTTTATATTGTTTTATTTTTTAAATTTTTCTTTTGCGTTGAAGTTTCTGTAGCACTTTGGTTGATTTTCCGGCGTAGTGTCGGTAGCCCTACGCCCAACCCTCATTTCCCGGGCTTGGGACCGGCTAGGAAACTAGGGAGGTTACTGGATGTATTCACTCTTTATCGACTTTAAGGTTTTAGGTATTTTGCTGGCCTTCTGTTAATCATCCTTAACTCTGTGGTACATATTTATACAACTGAAATGGTAGAAGACGAAGATTTAGGATACATTGCCCCCCTCTCAGTAGCCGCCACTGCTTCTAGTCTGACAGAATAAAAGGAACACACATTATACTGTCTGAAGTCTTTTCTTCTCCTTCTTTCTGGTCAGTGTCTCCTCCAGTGCCCTGCTTTGTCACATTCAAAACATCGGTTTTTCCTGGCACTCATTCGTAGTGTCGCTACTTCACGCTGCAAATCTTCCACTTTCTGTCCCCAGTCGTTCAATTTCGGTTGCTCTATTTCTGCTACCGCCGTGCTCAGCAGCTGTCTGGTCACCTTCGCCAGCTAACCGATGTCCATGGGTTGTGCAGCCTTAATCAGTTGTAGTTGCTGAGGCATGTTATCTGAGACACTGCCGATGAACTGGGACGTCAATAGCTGCGACTCCAATCTGGGGAGTGTGCGATATAGTAGATTAGTCAGCTTCACCACCAACACTAGCGGGTCTCCGTCCGGTCCCAACTTCGTGGCACAGAACTGCTGCATTGCCAATTGCCTCGTAAGCAGTAGGCCATGGAATCTTCATTGTCTCGAGGCAGTGACACCAACTGCAACTGTAGCAGTGTTTATTTCACACGATGGGGTTGCCAGCCTCATGCCCAACCTTTCCTCTTTACCAGCATTATTTCTGGATTAGCGAGGTAAAGGAGTCCGTTGGTCGGGGATCGAACCCCGGACCATGTGCATTGTCGGCGAGCGTCCTTACCGCTATGCCACCGACGCACTATATATATATATATATATATATATATATACATATATATAATTGGTGGAATTTGGAACTCATTGATCATTGGGTCAGTTTCCAGCGGCTGAATGGTCAATGAGGTCTCCTTGTAACCGGGAGGTCCCAGGTTCGAACCCTGGCAGTTGTTACGTACTGATGAGGAGTCCCGAACTAGGACGAAACACATGGCTATCCAGTACTCCAGTTCTGGTTTTCCAGTGGTTCCCTGAATGATATCAACTCGTGATCACTCTTGTAATGTAGGCTTTCACAAGTTAGGTTTACTTATATCTGTAATGTCTCTTCATGACTCCTATTTTTAAGAGTGAATTGTCCATCCATTCCTGAATATAGTCAAGCTTATCGAATATTTATTATTAATGTTATTGTCACTATTATTATTGTTAGTTCAGTAGTTTATCAAGATACTTATTTCTGTCCACTAGTGATTACCAACTAGTAGAGTAGTAAATAAGCAAGAATGTTCTAGTATTTGTGATCTCTACCATTTATGAAACTAAACCGCGTGGGCGTTTCACATCGAACATTATTACCTTGACCATTATTTTAGAATGTTGTTTGTTGATATACTGTTAATCTTTATAGTCTTTTGTTTTTATATTATTTTGTTGTCTTCGTCTTGTTCATCTTTAATTTGACCCTTATTTATTGATCTTGCGTGTGTGTGTGTATAAGTATATGTGTGTGTATGCTCCAGCGTAGATTCTTGCTTCAATATCTTCCTTGTGTGCGTGCGTGTACCTGTATAAATGTGTGTGTGTATGTTCACATGCGTGTTATAGCATTACAGGTTATTTTTTAGACGTTTATGCTTATATAAGTGTTTACGTATTTCAAATAGTTTATTTTACGGTGATTTCCTTCATTCAACTTAAAAATTATAGTGCTATGATAAATACAGGAATGATCACGAGCTGATATCGTTACAGAACCATTAGAAAACAATCAGAGAGTTGCTGGACATCTGTTTCGTCCTAGTTCAGGACTCATCATCAGTATGCGCACCCACCGCTAGTGTTCGAATACAGTGCCTTCTGGTTATGAGGCTAGCTCATAGAGCATTCATCCAGCGGGACCCGATTCGATGACCACGCCATGAATTCCAACTTGTGCCAATAATTTGCGACTTAGCACGACCACTAACCAATGTTGTCGGTAGCGAGTATTTGTCCCCACTTTTCACTAGAACCCAGATAACTGCCTACCTGAATAGGGCCAGCCGGTAGTCAGCATCAGATTGATATTCAGGTTTGCGAACCTGGGCGGGTAAGTACACTATTGAAAGGTCCAAAACTAAGACGAAACAGCTGTCCAGTACTCCTTGATGGTTTTTCAATGATTTTCTAACCGATGACAGCTCATGATGAAATCCTGTAACTAATGAAAACAACACCCAAATTCATTTTGTCTAGTAACCGCATATCTCGAAATCGACTCGTGTGAATTTCGGAAGAATTCCAATACTGTCTTGTTAGTACTACTATTATTATGGTGATTATTCTTATTTAAGTGAATTGCTTACTTCTTTTTTGCACTTCCTTTATATTTGTATCGAAATTTGTTCTCAGCATTTATGCCTTCTTGTTGTGTATGGCTGCCTGCGTGCGTGTATGTGTGCTCTTGCATAATTCTAACTTCAATGTAATGACTAGTGAAAGTTGAACATTGATCTGATAAAAATACTGTGTATCTAAACCTTCTATGCCTATTTTTGATCTATTCTACTACACTTTACTTTCTGTTTAATTTATTCATGATCAATATGCGTATGACTTATGATTGTTAGTATCATTATTATTATTATTATTATCATTATGGTCGAGGATTAATTTTTACAAATATTTTTAACTCGTATTTTGTCATTGTTTATCTTCCTCTCTCTTCTCTTTATTTTCTTTATGCTGTTATTGTTGTCTACGACGATAATTGGTACTACTACCACTATTATACTTCTGTCTACTGCCTAAACAGGCGAAGTATTCGATCATCTAGTTTCACATGGTCGAATGAAAGAACGTGAAGCAAGAGCTGCATTTCGTCAGATTGTATCCGCTGTAGAATACTGTCATCAAAAGAAAATTGTACACAGAGATTTAAAGGTTTGTCTCGTATTCTGTGTATTATTATCATTATGATTATTAATCCTTGAAAATCCATTTCATTCTTGATTGTAATGATTTTGAGTATTTGAATGTAACTAAGATGATGCTACAGGACTGGACTACATTGATTGATACCTAGCTTAGAAAAAGGAGTGAAGTGGTAGAGCGCGTTGAACGGTTTACGCCATCTCTGGCTTAGTAGACGTGATATCCGGTTGGCTATCCACCAAAAGGCGTATGTACTGCTCAGAAGCACTTTGCTCCGTCCTCCTTTATGGATGTGAATGAGACATGGCCATTGAGAGTGGAAGACATGAAAAAGGCAGCTAGCTGTCATTAATCATAGGTGCCTGCATTCTATCTCCCGTGTGAAGTGGTTTAATAGGGTGAGCAATATCGAGGTTAGGCGTGGGTCGAGTGCTAGGTAGGTTGAAGGGGAAATCAATTGACGAGGATGTGAAGTTACATCGACTGAGATGGTTAGGACATGTGTTACACATGCAACTTTAGCCATCGATCGCCTTCTTCGACGGGCACTGTTAGCCACTGACATAGGATCGATGAGGTTGGAAAAGAGCCAATTAGTGGTGGTTAAACCAAAACATGACCCCATCAGTCAATGAAATCCACAACAGTTAGTTTAAGCCAGTCACGTAGGAAAGTGTAGACTGTGTAGTTATGGTCCTTGGGACGGTCTTAACTATTGGTGGCTGTGGAGACAATTGGTGATATAGCTGAAAGTCGTTCTTCTCGATGATGGTGAAGATGCATTCATCACTCTTTGTGAGTAATTTTTCATATCCAATAAAAGTTTTTTTTGTTTTTCCATATTACTCCAATTCTTTCTCCTCATTCACACTTCTGTTTATTATCTGTTTTTTGAATCTGTGTTTAGTCTGTTGTCTTGGTTTGTGTGGTGGAAGGGGGGAGTGTGTCGAGTTGATTCGTTCACATCTGTGGAAAATATTTCTATGTTGAAACCAGTCAGTTAGTCAAGACTTTCTGCTGATTGCCTCCAAGCATCTATTAACAACAATTCACAGTGCATCGTGATAGCCAACCAATTAACTTGATGGCCACATTGTAAACTTGATTGATAGAATTCAGTCTGTACTGAACAAAAGACTAGTTGCATGACACTAGTAGTTAGTATCCACTCAAAGTATTTTGACTTTGGTGTGAGACAATGAACGCTCTCTTTCATCATCGGTCCGTCTACTTTATTGCTTTCACGTGCCTGTGGTATTGTTGTTGTTGTGGCTGTCATCGTTTGTGATTAAAGATTTGAGCAGCTTTCGTTAATGCATCAGATTCGTATTGCTCACAGTTCTCTTGGTTGTATTACCAGTCATATCAGGTACTGCTATATGCGCTTATGATCTCTCAATAAGGTGAGCAATATTGAGGTTAGGCGTCGAGTGCTAGGTACGGCGGGGAAATCAGTCGACGAGACTGTGAAATTACATCGACTGAGATGCTTAGGACATGTGCTACGTATGCCTAGTCATCGCCTTCCTCGACGGGAAATGTTAGCTGATATAGGGCCAGGATGGAAAAGAGCTAGCGGCGGTCAAACGAAAACATGGCACCAGTCAATGAAATCCACAACAGTTAGTCTAAGCCACGTAGGGAGATGTAGACTTCCTGGTTGGGGTCCTCGGGACGGTAAAAACCAATGGTTGGAAACAATTGGTGAAATGGCTCAAAATCGTTGTCAATGGCTGGTGCAGATGCATCCACTCCTTGTGACTTATGATTTCCAATGAAACTGTTTTGTTCTTCGTTATTACTGTACCTTTGTCTCACACCTCTGTTTACTGTCTTTATTATGCATTTCTCCTACTTTCTTCTCTTGCTTTGTGTGCTACAAGGAGGGAGTGTGGCGACTTGAACTTCCGCACATATGTGCAAAGTTTTATGTCGAAAACCGACCGACCGCTATGAGCTGTTATCAATTCATTGTCTCCTCTTCATCTCTTTGTTGTCGTTACCATTGCAGTTTTCCTACTCTTTAGCATTAGAAATCACTAGTGATACTCAGTTCATCTTTTAAAAAAAACTATCACATTATTTGAGTCATTTCGGCTTTTTTTGTATTCAATTCGGGAATTTTTTATTTACTTAGATTTTCATTATTTTAGTGAAATTTATTATTATTATTTTAATCAAGATGTGGGCGTGACAAATATGTTTTGCTCTTTATTTTGCCATTAAAGCCTTTACTAATCACATGTGTGTAACTAGTATTGTTGTTATTATTAGAATTTTTCATTTGCCATAATTCTATTTTCAAGCCACAACATATTAATATAATCATGAATAACGATTAGTTTATTCAACTAACTGAAATTCCCACAGGAGTGCAGCACTTCGATTTGTCACACTCCCTCCTTGTATCACACAAACCAAGACAACAGACTAAACACAGATTCAAAAAAGGGAGAGATAATGGACAGAAGTGTGAGTGAGGGAAAAGGAATATTAATATGACAGAACAATAGTTTTATTGGGTATGACAAAGAGTGATGAATGCATCTGTGCCATCATCGATAGCAAGGATTTTCAGTCAAATCTCCAACCGCCATTGCTTCTTACCATCCCGAGGACCCCAACCAGCCACCCAGTTTACACCACCTTACGTGGATGACTGGCTAGCTGGCTCAAAGTAACTGTTATGGATTTCATTGACTGATGAAGCAGTGATTTTGTTTGACCACCACTAGCTAACTCTTTTCCAACCTGATCGATCCTATGTGAGGCTGCTAAGATGGCGCGTCGAGGAAGGCGATCGATGGCTAGACATGCATGCGTAACACATGTCCTAGCCATCTTACTCAATCCGTGTAACTTCACAACCTTATCGGTAGATTTTCCCTCCTTACCTAGCACTCGATCGAGGCCTAATCTCAACATTGCTCACCCTAATGTACCACCCAACATGAGAGATAGAAGGTAGACACCTATAGCCAAAGACATGTATTCTCTTCATATCTTCCACTTTCAATGGCCATATTTTACGGCCAGTCATGAAGCAGGACGGAATGAATTGGTGAGCAGTACACACGTCGTTTGGTCGACAGCCGGATATCACATCTACTAAGGTAGAGATGGCGTATGTTGTCAAGTGCCAAACGAGACTTGTGTATCGGTGCTGAGATTCCGTCAGTGATCAACCCTTTCGGGCTGATGAAACTTCCCAAATAAGGGAAGTGGTACACACGCTCAGCCACCTGTTGACTTCTGCCCACCTTTTAAGGTAGGAGTGAGTCGATGTAGTCGAGTCCTTTAGTATCATCTTGCATTTCACAGCACTAGTGAATCGTATGGCAAACATTCGAAGATTGCTTTCTACTCAAGATGTTCAAAAGACTTTACGTTTTATTCAGTACTATAAAAGGAGTATCAAAACAATAGTGTTTTGAGATGAGAATGAAATAGCCAGTAACAGCTCACTTGTCAGGAATCTACTGTATCCATAATTAAATCACGTTGTTCGAAGCAGGTTATGTTACTTGAGTGATGCTCAACTAATCGTGTGTTGTGAATCGTGGTAATATTGCGTATTGTAGTAATTTGTAAGTAACATTGTAGGATGTGATCTGTCTCTGTGATTTCTGCTGCCCCCATATGATTTTTTAAGGGTTCTTTTATTCCGAGAAACTTTTAAATTTCTCTGAAAAGGCTGACTAGAATGCCTCTGTAATCACTGAGATCACTTATGCAGGGAAACATATTTTCAGTGGGTGTCATGACGAGTAATATAATGTGTTCGTAGTGATTATAGAACACCATGCGATGCATTCATGGAGACAGACTTCGAGTGAAGCTTTCTGTTGCCACTTTTTTGATTCACTTTATTTGTTCAAAGTTCAGGTGTTGCAGTGGTATCTGTTGAATAACTATCTAAAGTTTTTAATCTTCATTATCCTGAATCAGGATGTCTAACTATCGTCCTCCATAATGCCAATTTCAGGGATATGTTAATGTGGACGTAGATTTTCTCATAAACGCATATTAATTAAATATTTGGTTAGTTGGCTTAAGCAATTGGTGAACGTCAACCATTCACCGCTAGCGACTGAGTAGTATTATGACTATCTCTCACATGATAGAGCTGTAGCTAATAGTCCCTTATGTGAAAAATCTGCCCCTCATAGCTCACGCTTAATTTTTGATTTCAGAAAGGAACAACAATAAAAACCGTGGAGCAGTAAATCACTCATACTTTTCTTTTATGATCGTTTTAAACCGTACACTTCTGATCCATATCACAGAGGTGGAATCCAGTATCACCATTCCACTTGACTTCGAGATGAATCTTCCGAAGTTCCACTGGAAATTTGCTATGTGTGAAGATTTATATATGTAATTGAAACAGCACTATAGATAGATAGCCAGTTTTCACATCAGGTATTTTCGTACATTTTATCTTTGAATTACTGTATAAGTGGGATCTATGTGTGGCTTGCTGGCTTAAGCATTGCACTTCCAACTGCTGGACGACAGATGAAAATTCCTCCCCATCTAACTACGTTTTAGCAGCCAGGTAGCGTTATTAACCCTGACACAATAGTTGTGGCTCATTCTCCATTGCATCTAGAAGCATGCGGCTCTTGATTAATAATTTACCATTTTCGAATGCTATACAATATGAAAAATTGTAATTGAGAAAGCAAAATATTGTCTAACTGTTAAATTGTGACCTGTGCTACTGACAAGATTTATCAGTAGTGTGTAAAGGGACGTTCGTCGACACAAAAATGCTGTATAGCAGAGTGATGATAGATTTGATGTCAATGAGAGCAAATGAACCAGTGTTGCGGAGAGAACCACAGGAGACACGTAAAGAAGACAAAGAAACACAATACGCAGGGCAGAAGTAGGGAGCACAACATGGAAGATCTGTACAGGAAATGACGATCGATTTTCAGATAAGGTGTATATATATTTTCACTATACACATAGAAAGATATTAGATACCGAATAAACATTGCCTTACCAAATCTCTTGTCTTTTCCCGTTACAATATGCATTCATAAATAAAATCTCTATTCATTTATTTGTTTATTCATGTTGTTGTTGTTTAGAGAATATCCTCTTTATTTTTGCCTCCTAACTTCTTTTCAGGCTGAAAATCTTTTATTCGATGGTTATTTCAATGTGAAACTAGCTGATTTCGGTTTTTCAAATCTTTTTGATGGATCGAAGAAACTGGATACATTTTGTGGTAGTCCTCCGTATGCTGCACCGGAATTATTTCAAGGCCGTAAATATGATGGTCCAGAAGTTGATGTTTGGTCATTAGGTGTAATATTGTATACACTTGTTAGTGGATCATTACCATTCGATGCACAGCATTTAAAGGTTAGTCGTCATTATCTTTTGTTATAGATATATGTATGTCGTCTTGTGTGCGTCGGTGGCATAGCGGCTAGTACGCTCGCCGACCATGCACATGGTCCGGGGTTCGATCCCCGGCCGGCGCACTCCTTCACCTCACTAAGCCAGAAATAAAGCTGGTGAAGAGGAAAGGTTGGGCATGAAGGCTAGCAACCCCGTCCTGTAAAAATAAACACTGCTACAGAAACTTCGAAACTCTAGCTTGAAGCCCTATGTTCCACTGGGAACATGAAGGAATAAAAAAATATCGTCTTGGTGAGGCCAGCTACTAAACCTCGCCTAGTTGACAGTAAGCCCTGAGGAGAGAGAATGCCGGATGTGTCTGACTAGTAACCTCACGCTGTAAAACAATGTCACTGCTACTGAAAATTCAATATGCGCTTAGTTTGAAGTAAAGCAACTTATTATTTGTAAAGGAAATGGCTCATGCATATGTTTTGTATACTTTAAAAATCTTCAAGAAGTTGCAATTCTAACGAATTAATGATAACATAATCCGATAGCGAAATCCAGATGGTATCCTGATGTTGTATCACCTGGTTCAGTGATTACCCTGGAACATCGATCTGCATTAAATTATCTTGGCTGACACCAGTTGAGTAATCGATTTGTGGTGGAATGTGTTGTATGTATTACAAGGTTGTTTGTATTGTCCTTGTGTTGTATATGTGTACTTTCCACTACTCAAGCAATTCTGTCACAACTTAATTTCGATGTCACCTTGACAAAAGAAGTATGCTCAGATATTGAATTCTTTTGCTCAACTGTATATATAACATACAATATTATATTTTGTATTCGTCCTTCCTCCCTTTATTCTCTAATTCCCTTTTTTAGGATTTACAAGAACGTGTACTTCGTGGGAAGTATCGTGTTCCGTTCTACATGTCCACTGACTGTGAAGCATTATTACGCAAACTGTTAGTTCTTAATCCATCCAAAAGAGTTACACTCAGGGTAAGTTTGTGTTCTGTTATTCGCCTTTTCAAAAAAATAATTTATATTACTGTCTGATTTTCTTTATTTGTATTAAGTTTCTTATTGTCTGTCTATTTCAGTTTCACATAGTCAGTATGTTTAAGGCATGTCGAAGTGTCTGTGTAATTCATTGCATACACTAAAAACGGGTGTTCCATATTCAGGTAGGTAGTTACCTGGGGTCCAAGTGGGAATTCGCGACCAGTAGGATACAACAGGTTGGGCGTGAAGACAAATACTCGCCACCGTTGACATTAGTTAGTGCCAGTCGCACTATATCGTGAATTGGCAGAAGTTGGAATTCATGGAGTAGCCATTGGGTACGGTCCAAGTGGCTGCTGAATGATCCACGAGCTAGCCTTGTGACCAGAAGGTCCTGGGTTCGAACTCTGTTGGTGGGTGCGTACTGCTGTCGAAGAGTCCCAAACTAGGACGAAACTGATATCCAGTACTTTCTGATTGTTTTCCAATGGTTCTGTAACCGATGTCAGCTCATGATGAAATCCTATCAGTCAAATCCCTACGAACCAATACTGTTCCATAAGAAATAATTCATCTTGACAGTCTTTGACTAGACTTTTGTTCCAGACATATGTATATATATATTCTGTTAAATTTTTCTTTCTTCCCCACAAGATTTTTTCTTTTCTTCCCTTCGGAATTTTCGATAAAGTAAACGAGACGGTATAAAGATTGAATAATGCCTTAAAAAAATAACATGTTGCACATATGTCTGTAAATATGTTCTATAAATTGGAAATAGATTATCATATAATCAATGAAATTATTATTATAGTTATTATTCCTTTGGGTTCCTAGTGAAGCATAGAGCTTCAACACCATAGCTACACTTTCTTCTATTCTCTGCTGTCCTCGTCACCTGGGTCCACTATCTCCATGTCACCCTCGATGTGACGACCCACTCGTCGCTTCCCATCAGGATTCCACTCGATTGATTGCCTGCATTGCGCGTGATGTCATTCGATGGTTTCATTAATGTGTGCCTCATCAATCTATCTCCATTTTCTCCTACATATTTGTTGAGCAATCGTCTCTTGGTTGTTTGTTGTCAGCCAGCCAGTTAATTTGGCAGCTGTTGATAAAAGTTTGCCGCTGGCTGTTGGAAATGGTTTTTGTGACGTGCTGGCCGAGTTTCTGACCCGTATAGAAGGACTGAGTGACTGACTAACTGACTGATTTGACATATGTGTTGAGAATCCGAATGTTTTTGTTTATTCTGAGGGTGAGTGCATAAGATTTGGAAACTGGTTCCAGGTTGGTGAAGGCGTATCTTGCCTTTCCTTTCCTTTCCGATTGTGGCTGGTTTTGCAATCTTCATCCGTGCCGCTGGTCTGTGGTTGATAAAACGATGTTGCTTGTCCAGATAAGTGAAGGAAGTGACCTCTGTCAAATCTTTCCTGTTGATGGTGGTAGGTTATCTTCATCTATCCCGTCTTCTCTATGTTCACCTGGAGTCCCGTATCTGCTGCCTACTTCTTCACTCGGTTCAGTGGTTTTCGCCTGTAAGTCTTCGAGTTTGTGTGGGTGTGTGTGTCGGCTTGGGACTGGCTAGAAAATTAGCAAGCTAGTAAACTGGGCGAGGTTATCAATTAAATACTGAAGATGAAAACATAAGCTATTTGTTGTGGTCGGTGTATACATGACATGTCTCTGGGAAGTCACTTTTGTTTTGAAGCATTTTTTTATCATGAACTAATGTGAAGACTATTGGTAGTATATCCTGAAAGTTACTCGCTCGAACCGTTGATTGACACTCTCTGTTATGTTATCTGTATTACAAGTCAATGTTATTTCAAATCAGCGGTGAGCATTGACGCGGCTTTAGTCTAGCGTGTGGATACAATTAGTGGAATACTTAGTTTTTATTCTCAGGTACAGCCTTGGGAATACAACCCCAATCAGTGAACTAAACAAACGAGCTTTAGTCGTCTGATTCAACCTTTTGATCAGCTAATTTTAAAATTGTTTAAATGGAATAATATAGAGAAAAAAAAGCTACTGTAGTTTACTTGATTGAGTGAGCATTCATTGTTTCACAGAATTTGATGGTCATCTAGTGTATGGCCACTAGTAGCGTCTTCCACGTTGCTAATTTCGTCCTATTTTGGTTCTCGTCATCTGGATGCATCTCCATTCTCCAGTGAGTAGTGATATTGTTTCCCTTGAGACTCGAACTCAGCATCCGCACAAGGTTTTGACATATCAACCTGAGGCTGAACAGTTTGGTTCAATCAACCAACGGGGGAAGTCCAAATTGAATTAAGTGATTTGATGATGTTCATCGTTTATACATTATCATCAACACTTCTTCAGTGTATAGATATTTCTGGAGAGAATTGGTTGTAAAATAGCTAGGAACTTCCGAATTTGTATAGGGTGTTCCCTTCTGCATAGCGGATGTCTGTCTGTCTGTCTGTCTGGATTCAACATAGAACTTGGCACTGAAGTGCACCAGTTCAAGTTGACACGTTCCAAATAACACACAAAGGTAGACAAGAAAATGAGTGAAGAGAATCAATAGAGTTTTGACAAGTATAAGAGTGAAACAGAATGAGTAATGGTAGAAAGGAATATGAAAGATTACAGGGACTGAATACATCTGCACCATTGACAACGATTTTGAGCCATGTCACCTAATGTCTCCAGTCATTGATTCTTACAGTCCCGAGGGTGGACCCCAACCCGGAAGTCTGCATCTCCCTCCCTACCTGACTCAGTTTAACTGTCAAGGATTTCATGGATTGATGAGGCCATGTTTTTGTTTGGCCACCACTTACTCTTTTCCAACCTGCACCTATGTCAGCTAGCAATGCCCGTTCGTCATGGGAGGCGATGGTTAGGCATGCTCAGCACGTGACCTAGCCATCTCAATCTATGTAACTTTATAGCCTCTTCGATTGATTTTCCCTCTTTGCTCAACACTCTACGCCTAACGTCAACATTTCTTACCTTATTATACCACCTAACGTGAGAAAGAGATCGTAGACATCTATGATCAAAAACAGTCAACGTTTTCACTTCTCCAACTCGCATTGGCCATGTTTCAGAGCCATAGAGAAGGATGGAGCGAACTGCTGAGCAGCACATAGGTCCCTTGGTTGATAGTCGGATGTCACGTCTACGCCTGCATAGCGTATATGAACTGATAAGTCTGGTTAGAGAAAGGCTAGAGATAATATGATTTAGAATCGATCTCATTGACTCTGATACCTGTAGAATTGATTTTAATCCTCATATCACATTTTCAGTCTTCTTCTTTTGTTTGTCTATTGCATAACACTCTAAATACTTTGATAGCATATATTTTACATTCTCATTCATTCATTCAACTTGATGTGAAAAGTTTGGTATGGGTTCCGGTAGTGAAATTTTTAGTCTAAGTAAAAATTCTTCTGCTTTACAGTATTCTTGATCGCCTTTTAACTGAGCTAGTATTCACACATCGCCTAGATACCTCGATAGGAACTTGATGATTACTTAGCAATGGGGGGGGGGGGCAATTGTCCCACGCCTTTTCTGTCAATTACATATTTAATCATGAGTATTTAAGATGAGTTGTTTATTGTTCATGGGAGGCTGTAGGCGGTTATCACCTTGGAGGTCGATATCTTCTTAGAGAATATCTAAGACAGATAGAGTGGATTAATGTTGGCCAGGGGAAAATTGCTTGAGGATGGTCACATACGGCCAGTTTGGAGTAGTTATTAAAGTTGTGTCTGTATGAAAATCTTATCACCACAAGGTGAGTAGAAATGTACTATTTTCGGGGTTGACCTTTCCTAACCCCCCCCCTCACCAGATTGAAGAGACATCATAGCTAGCTAGCTGGCTTTCTGGTCGTTCGAGAAAATTCCTGACTGCTGTTATTCGCCAACACCCGTAACATAATATGATGGACTTACACTTAGACGACAAATGCTTACAGTTTAATCGTTATTTAAACGACCTTTCCGGTTTGGTAGAACCTGCAGAAGCATCGGTTCCAGCTAGTGTAGCGTGTCGGTTCATTGCGATATACAAGGTGAAGCCCCACACCAAGGTAGCTGCTGTCGATTAGGAATTGTTCATTTCTTTTTTCTAGTGGATTCAGTCTTCGAGAAAAGCACAAAAAGCTTGTTTATTTTTCACCAACTTATATCACTTATGAAGCCTTTGAGTTATCCGAATGAATATTAAAGAAAAAATGGCTCCGTTCACCTTTTCAATGCTGTAATGTCTTGGTATCTGACTCTGTTTTATTTAATCAGGACTCAGAATTGATTTATTCTGATGCCTATGCATTCATGCCCTCCTTTTATCATATTTCTTGACTTGTTTTTTTTAAAGCGTATTCTGTAAACGTTTTTGTGCAACTATCCTTTTCACTGAGTCTAATTTATGTATAGGTGTATGTTATAAATTGTAAAGCATGTTACTAATCATGATTTCGCTAATTTTACCCCTCCCCCCCCGACCCGCTCACTCTCCCTCTTCTCTTTCTGGATCACAGCAAATATCTAAGATCCTTGAGCTAGCTATTTCCTTAACCTCATTATACGGTATTGTTTTCGCTTTGGGTGCGTAACAACATACCTGAAGCTTGTTATACTGGTACTTTTTGCCGAAGTCCAAATAGTTGGTGATCATGTCAATTGATTCACCAAAGTCATTCACACCTAGATTGATGAGTCACATATCCACACATTGTGAATCAAGTCATTCGTTGGAATCCTGACTTAAAACATTCCAACAATGTCGGAGTGGTTTTTACTTCATCACTTCATCTTCCAGTAGTTGGCATTTCAACATTGCTAATTTATAGCTCTTCCTCGGTTTTCCTAACTGTGAATGGTATAAAATCTAGTCCAGTGCATAAATTGTGTTTCTGAACACCTGTTGCCATCGTTTCAAATTCAGGATGGTGAAAATTAAGCAATCACATGTTGTATAATAGATGTCTCCATACTGACTGACTGGTT